CGAACACTGACTGGCGATGATGGATGAGATATTGCTTCTGTTAACATCTTTCCTGATATTGATGAAAGATATTGGGCAGCTCTGTGTTGACTTGACTACGTTGTTAAATGAGACTGAATGCTTTGCAGTAATTGTGAACGATTACTTATGATCAAAAGTGTACGACTATAATGACCACAAGCATTTGAGTGCTAGGGGTAACAAAAATTAAAGTAATTCCAAAACAAGCAATCTTTAAAACGTAGAATTTTTCCGGTTGGTTCAGCTTCTACATCTGTAAAAATTGTTAATTACAAAACCATGAAAATTACTTACAAACGCAGCTGATGAATTTTCAGTAATATCTATTAAATTGAATGTTCAACGGTGAAACGAGATTGCTGTTTCAATATTTTGAAACGAAATTATATCAATATTTTCAAATAAATGTGCATTACAAGAGACTGGTAAATTCATAGTCTCTCATATAAATTTTCATTGATAGTTTTAACCAAATTTTCTGCAGAATATTCTATCTGCTGATATGACTAGAACGCAATGAAAAAATAATAAGGCCTCGGAATAAGGAGCTTCGCTCATCGAAAACCTTGATCCTCGTTTCAATTAGCATTCATCGCTGGCGAAAAGTGAAGTTATTTCGACTCTAGAGTCATAGTTCAGCAGGGCATTTTGTTATTTCTTTGTTATATTATATTGTTATTTCTTCATTATCTAATATTATTATTTCTTTATTATATTATACAGTTATTTGACTTATTTCCTTATAACCTCCAGTGTTTATTTATCGAGGTGAAGATGAGCTGGCGTATCTCTAAATCCGCGATAATGCTAATATTTTCAAATAAAAAAAAAGATATATCGAAGGATATATAGTCAAATCTAGAAATGAAAACTTTTAGCAATGGTGTGAACATTTCCATCATATTATGAATACTCTGATATAGTTAAAGAAATTTAATCTAATTACTGAACGTTGAGCAACCGTTGCAAAATTATGTCCGATCTTAGAGTTAGGAATCAAGTCTGTTTTATGGCACTACCTGTGTTGGCATTTTGCTTTGGTAAACTTTCGCATATTTTGCCTCAAGGGATTTGTCATTCTCTTGAAAATGCAATTTTTTATCTTCAGATTTAGATTTGCAGCGGAACTTTTTTTTCGCTTCGTTTTTCTTGTGAAGATTTCTTTGAAAAGAAGTTGGTACGAGCCTCTCGCCCGCAGCTTCTGATCTAGCGACACAAAACCTACGCCAGATTTTATTTATTTTTCATGCTTTCATGAAAAAAACGAACGATTTTATTTCCGCTTACATTGTTTATTTGATCTCGAGGGAAGTAGTATTTATTTGCATTCGTATTTCTGCAAAAATTCACTTTGACCGGACAAAGTGCAGCTATCAAGTCGCATTGTAACTTGCTAAGCCAATGCAGGAAGTGAATAAGGTTCTTTGAATCTTGGGCAGTATTAATATTGAAATAATATGTAAAATATTTGTTACTTGGTAGTAAGCGGATGAAATGTGTGAGTCCGACTCATAAGAAATTCATTTTTGCCACCGAATAAAATATGCGAGTTGCAACTCTTGTTGTATCAGGTTTCAATTCATTTTTCACTATCGCGTACAAAATTGACTGATAGCTAATACACGTTGAAGCTTCCCAGCAACACCGTGTCCGTTTCCCTGGACCTGAATGCCAATTTAGAGTTGGGAGCAAGAAGCATCGGAAAACTAAGGATGGATTCAAAATGAAACCTAAAAAAATTGAAGTTAACTCAGTGGATTCACTATAAAAAAATCACGCAAATTATAGGCGGGATTTAGGCGAGGTTTCGGTCTTTCTGGTAGCCACATTATTTCATTTTAAAACCTATTAAGAAAAGAGGGAAGTCGTTGAGGAAAAGGAAACGTAATTCTTGAGATTTAACTACGGAAAAATCGCGCCACATATCAAGGATAAAATCAAACTCCAGGTATATATCAATTAGTTCTTACTTTTAACGATGCTGCAATCAGAATCTCGTATTTTTTAACTGCTAAGCACCTGATGACTGATGTGTCTTTTCGATATTGGGTCTTCAGCGCTGTGTTTGTGCGATCCCTACAGCCGCTGCCATATAGCTTTATTAAAAGGAACTCGCTTTCCCGCTCTAGTAACGCAAAGCGACGTCGACACTTTCATCCGCTAGACGTTCGTCTTGATGCTCTGTAAATAAGATCTCGAGCGCTGTGCAAACATCACATTTATCGCGGCCTCCTTTCATACGGGGCCTTGAAAGAAGCGCTGCGATACCACTTCATGGCTGCATTAAAGCACTCCCTCAAGTGAACGTCTTGGCACTGTGTAGGGAAAAAGGTGCTAAGGAGTTACCCTGCTTGTTCAGTATCATAAATACTTGTGTTTATGTTGCTCATTTGTTATTTAGGTTCAACAATGAAAGGATGAAAACAAGTCAGGATGGCCTGCTTGTTCAGTCCCATAAATTTAGGTAAATGTTATGTTTTTAATTACCGTAAGAAGTAAAAATAAGAGCACTTGGCTGAGATCTGCAATGATGATTATATTGTAGTTTATCACAGGGCAATTATAACGTTTGCTAATTGTACTTCGCTGGGCGACTGAAATGCGTGTCGGGGAAATGTAACGAATGGATTTATTTAACTATTTATTTATGCAATGCACTTATGACCATTGAGAAACTATGCATGTCATTTTGGTCTAGTGTACAGTTTACTCCGACGTTACCTTTCCCGTCGAATGAATTACTTTCCAGGCGACTTGAATTTTATTATTATTAAGTTGAAATTTTCTCTCCATATTTCAAAGTTATTCATGATGAAATCATTGAAATTTCATTTTATGAACCTGCTTTGCACGTAGTGGCCTATCTCAAAACTCTGCAGCGGATGCACCGCCAGGTGTTGTTTGTAACTGCAACTCATGGTTCCGCAGTCACGGTCGCGGCGACGGTCCTGTATCATGAATGATATCGGCACAGGCTCGACAATTTTAAAGCCGATATGCGAGGGAATGAGTTAAAATTTTGGGGAATTGTAGCTCATGATATTTAGGTTATTCAAAATTAAGGCTCGGCCATTCAAAATTTATTTTATTGACGGTCAAGTTGAAAGTTTCATTTAACACGTTGACTCAGATTGCCGTAGTAATTCATTTTTTGTACTATTTTGAAACGGGGTTGCCAGATGGTCTTCTTTTCTCACAAATTCCGTAATTTAGTATTTTGATTGCGTTGGCGTACTTCGATACTAAAATTTATGATAGGCGTACTTCCTAATTAAATTTAAGAAATTGCAAAAAAATAAATGGAATTTGCACACCAAAACCTATAAATATACTAGTATATATTGAGTTATATGCATTTTTAGCCTTTTTTGTTCGCAGGCTTGGCCGTTTTTTAGGCCATCTGGCTACCCTGAATTATGTACCACTATACGCATACAACTGGACCACTGGAGAAATACAATTCGTTGTGCGCATATGCACTACTTCGGGGTCAACGTGTTAATTGACTCGAATGAAACTGAGTCATTCAGATAATACACCATTAAATTCTCCAATTCAAAATTTTGGTAACAGAATTCTGTTGTGGTCACTGAAGAAAACGCGAACGCTGCTTCACTGTTTCTTACTAGCATAACATTATTTCGTATATCTATGTTGCTTTTTTAGTCTGCAAACTTGTCGCATCCTCAATTTTTAATAAAACCTTTTAGAAATCGTGAACGTCATAACGCGATTCATTTTGAATTTTTTTTTTTATAATTCTTTCATCATCGAATGTTGAATTACCGAAACGCTCACCGTGTACTAGTAGAGTTTATCCTAATTTTGTCCATGCGTGGAAACACTCACTCGGTCGCATTGCTCCTAAAGTTCGTATTCTATAATTCAAAGACAGACACTCGGGAATTGTCGATGAAACTGGAGGATCTCAAACTGCTCTTGAAACTTGGCTGAGAGCTCGGCGTTCTCGTTTCCTCTTCTCTTGCGTATTGACTTTAATTATTCGCTGGAAAATAAGTTCAGGGACCACGCAACAAAATCCCAACATTTTCTTCTGTTTGAAACAACGCAGACTTTTATTAACAATTTATCCTGCCATTTGCTGGAGGAAAATGCACTGCAATATAATAATAAAGTTTCATGCTCGCAAGGGTCGCACTGGATAACATTGCAATAAAATGTAAACTTGTTAAATGACTAATTTCTGTGTTGCATATCATTTGTGGGTAAGCAGCTGCAGTATCGCTGGCACGTTAAACTTGTACTATAAACCACTTAACAATTGTTAGCGTTGAAGTTAGCGATTGCGCGTTTATAAGGTAAGTATCGAAATGTTTTCTCCAATGTTGAATATCATATATGTTTACAAATAAGATATTCAATCAAGTTTATTCGAGAGTGGTCGAAATGGTTCATTCTTGTCTGCAATTTTTCGGCTAGAGATACAGTGACTATGAGTGTAATCTATTTTTGTAATACTATGATAGAATAATTATGCATAATTGGAAACAAAAGTGAAAGAAATTTGTGCTTGTATTTGACCAACGAAGATTCTTACGACACAAGTTTTCGATCCAGTGATCGTTCTTTTGTATGTGCCTGAGAAGTCCTCTTTGTAGCGCTTGGCTCCTCTCAAGACCCTGTATAGGAGTGGACGTAACCTTAAAATTATTTTCCTGATTGGTCTCGACTCACCATGGAAGACTTCGACGGAGCTCAGAGGCTCGGTTGATTGCTAGCAACTTCAACACTTGAATTGCGTGCGTGCACGAAAATTCGTTAAGACCGCAGTGCTGCATCAGCCTCCGCCATGCCGATGGGCCGCTACAGCGCCAGCTCGAGTGTGAGCAGCGACCTGGCGGCCGCCGCCGCTTCTTCGTCATCGGCCGACACGCGGTCTAGGAACGGCACGGCGTCGAGAGTCGCGTCGAGCGCTTCTTCGTCTCGCGTCGTGTCGCTTGGAAGCACGTCGGGCAATGGCGAGGCAGGCACACCAACGGGCGCCTTACCGCCTACTATTACCAACAAAATGGGCGAATCCTTCAGCACGCTAAGACTTTTCACCTCCTCGGTCGTGAAGTCCTTCAGCTTATCCGCCGGTCTCTTTCAAGTCGCGACTGATAACGACAAAACCTCCACCACAAGCGGGACGTCCACCGGTACTTCTTCCACTTCCACAACCGTCAGATACGCTGGGGGAAGCAGCGTCACAACCCCAAGTGGAGCAGGCGGTCCTTCCTCCTCAATTGTGTCTCAGCATCCCCTAGCACGACAGCCCAGCAACGTGGTAAGTGCTCAGTCTGGCGCCTCATTATCGTCGGCTAGAATCCCCAAAAATCGTGATGAGCTCGTCCCTAACGCGGAAAAATTCTCATCAAGTCAGGTTAATTGTAAACTTTTCCCTCCCTCCTTCGCCACCTAATCAGGCTTAAGCCACGTCTTCTTGTCTAGTTTGCTTCGCTCCCTCACAATAAAGTCGCTCCCTCGTATACTGATTAATTCGCTTTTGCGCAGTCTTGGAGAAAGATAATGTTGAATTGTTCGCACTTGCTTTCCTGCTTTTAATCAGAAGTAATTTAATTTCTTTCGTTCCCGTCCCGCTTAGCAACAGCCTTGAGCATTTATTTGTGGGAGGTTAAATAGAAGTCAACATCTGGGCTTAAGTCAACAGCGCATTACCTGGTAAAGAAGAAAAAAATTAACTGGCCCGAATTATTTAAAATTTCTTACTTTTCTTAATTGATTCAAACTTGCTGATTTAAAATATTTCTAGACATTGATTGCCTCATTTGGAGCAGTCATTTATAACCAGGCTAGAAATTAGTTTGAAAATTATTTGTCTTAATTAATACAAAATACACGTATAATGTGTCTTAATATAGCCCGTAACCTCCTCACTACTTGTATTATGAACCAATTTCGTTGTGCTACTAATTGTGTTGTTTTTCTTTCACTGCCTTACCTTCTCCATCGTTCCCCCTTCTCATCCCCTCCTTAATTGTCATCCTTTCCTTGCTTTGTAAGAAATATTTTGTTTTTCTTCGATCTCGCGTTCTTACTAATACTCTAATTTTGCTTTCAACGTCTGCATTTTTCACCCATTCATCCACCCAATTGCCATTTCAGTGTTTTTGCCCGTGTTTTCCCTCGCATGCAATTTTTTATACCTTTGGCTATGAGCTAATAGAAATTTCTCCGGCCTTTTATTATTTCTTTCAAAGTAATCATACTGAATTTTCGGGGCAAATTTTTTTGGGCTCGCCTAAATTCATCTAAGTAAATTTAGCTGCAACTCATTCATACCTCTAGTATGTGCGACTCATTCGCATGCCTAATAAATGCGACTCGTTCAAATGCCTAATAAATATGACTCATTCACATTCATAATTAATGTGACCCGTTCACATATCTAATTAATGTAACTCATTCACATGCCTAATAAAGGAGACTCATTCATGTGCCTAATAAATGCGACTCATTAACATGCCTAATTAATGCGACTCATCCACATGTCTAATTAATGTAACTCATTCACATGTCTAATTAATGTGACTCATTCACATGTCTAATTAATGCGACTCATTCACATGTCTAATTAATGTAACTCATTCACATGTCTAATTAATGTGACTCATTCACATGTCTAATTATGCGACTCATTCACATGCCTAATTAATGCGATTCATTCGCATGTCTAATTAATGCAACGCATTCCCATGTCTAATAAATGCGACCTGCTCATTGAGCGAATGAAGGTAGAAAACCGAAGCTTTTTATCATCAAGTTAGACGTCAGTAACTCGTCTCGCATAATTAAAACAGAAATATTACGCGATCTGATTTATTTGCAGAGGATGCGCTGAAAATTTAATTCGTTGAGCTCTTGTGTGAGCCTCGGTGTCAGGTTCCTTTTTAGTCGCTTGGAAGCGTCACTTAACAGACGAATATACCTGCATATTTAAGATCTCTAATTGAGTTACCAGCCTTACAATTTACATCTGCCTGTATGCCTGTAATTTTCTTCGCGAATAATGGAACTGTTCTTCTATTTCTACCTTTTGATATATTTTAATTCTTCTACATTGATTTTCCATCAAGAATGGGCGAGACCAATTTTCTGAAATTATTCTTTCTCTATTTCGACGTAACGTTATTTGTATTTATTTATTTTTATTGTAAAGACACTTGAGAAGATCGTGCAACTTTATAGCTTATCGTGTTCACATTATATATAATGTGACGTCGGTTGTTGTTGTTGTCAACTTGCGCACCGACCGGCGCTGTAAACTTCGCCTTACTTCGGCTGCACTGTTGCAACTTTGTCACCGGACGAAGTCGTAACTTTCTCTCGGCGGATTTGTTTTCCCTCTCTTGCGTTATCACACGTCCTTCTACACCTACATGGCAGTGCGTCGCACGCACGACGTTGCCCTGCATCTCAATGACATTGCATCGCACTCTCATTCAGAAAAATAAATGCCATGCTGTCCAAAAAGTTATTTACTTTTAGAAATAAACACTACAAAATTTTGCCGTGCTAAATTATTAGGACAGGATTACCCAGCCAGGGACAGAAAGTGCATAGCTATTTGTACAAAATCTCTCTCATCCCTCTGAGTGCTTGACGTTCCTCAACGACCCAAGACAGTTTCCTCGTCATGCCGTCAAGGAGGCGGCGATGGTGATGCTAACGACGCCCCAGAGACAGCAAGCGTCCAGCGCCGGTCTCGGGGGAACTGCTCTTAAATCTCTACTCGAATTTATGGTGCATCTGCAGCCATCAGTCGCAGCGCCGGACCGTGATGCCGTGCATCATTATTCTTATCTGTGATGTACGGTTGTAATGTGCGTCAAGCTTTATTTTTATACGTTTTAGAATGACGCTATCATGATCACTGCCATGTTACATTTGTAGTTAGAAATAAATTAAAAGTTGCAGCATCTCTACAGACGGCCAGTGAGTTCACTTATTCAACTTCGAAAAAGAATTCAAGTTAACCATGGTTCCGGGTCCAATTAGACCGCAGTTGCTAATAATTGGTGAAATATGTTCCTAGTATGAGCGTGAATTAGTTATTCAAATCTGAACAAAGACAAAATTCATTGTTAAGTTAATCTGAACAAATTCATAACCCAATAACTACCAGCCTTGTAGCAGACGATGACTTAAATGCAAGAAAATACGGCAAATCCTAAATAGTGACGTAAGCACGTAAACAACATTTACCAATGAATTGTGCTAAGCATGCCTGACGTAATGTTAAAACTGTTAAGATGCTAACGCATTAACCTGAATTATTCAGGCTAATGCGTTAGCATCTTAAACGTGCTGATGAACTTGCACAAAACCTTTCAGTTTGGTGCGCTAGCTGGAACAAGCTGCTGGGCTTGGTCCCGTAGCAGCGAAGGAATCATTTCCGTTTGTCTTCACGCAAGTGAATTGTTAATAAATGAGAGTGTCTGGGCTGGCCCGCTGGGTTATTCGATTGTGCTTCATGGCATTTTCCAATGTGTGCTCGGATACAGATTATTTCAGAAGTTACTTGGCTGTGCCCATCACTATATTCACTCCATTGCGAGTCATGTGCTACTCAGTTTCGTCTTAGAAACCAGTCGCTTATTTTAAGAAGAAATGAAAATACTTTTTTACATATCGAGTCGAGTGTTTCCCATTGAAATAAGTATTGGAACGAAAGTGAGTTAGGAGAGGAAGAGTCACTTGAGTGCATTGTGCTGGGGAAGCGCTTTACTTCCCCAAGTGTGGCAGCCAGAGTCCCTCATTTCGCTTGCTCTCGCACCAATCAAGCCTGCGGTTTTGTCTACGGATTTTGCTCCCAGGAATTCATTAGCTGAAAGCCTACGATGTCAACTCGAACAAATTGTTTTGTCTAGGCCTGAATGTTGACTTTGCTTTTACCCGAACATTTTTTCCAGTTGTAGTTTGGGCTTGATACATTCTGAGGACGCGATGTGTTCACTCATGCAAAAAGCAGCACTTATTTTCCAGCTTCGAACCTGCACGCTGTTTTTATTCATTTGCTTTGAGAAGTAAACGCTGCCATCCTAAATTCGACAACGAAAAAATTCAGATTTGTGTTTTTCCGCACCTGGACTTTAATTTGGCGCGACCTCTAACTTTTCCATTACGTCTCTGGTTTGATGAAGAAATTTCTATTTCGCCCGTATGGTTAAAACTACAACTCCTTTTTTGATTAGGTATAGATCTGTGTTTGTTTCCACGGAAGGTCTGAAATTCGGTTCTGAAGCTCAGAGGCCTAGAGCGATGGGCTAATCTAAGCAAACCAATATCCTGGCCAATATTGTCTCCCTCATTCGTGATCTTTATTAATGAGCTTCAGCGTTGCAATTGTCAGCCTGTGGCGGCAACGAATCGTCTGCTGCCACCATTGCCATTCTGCGCATGATTATCTCTGGGCTTGCCACCTCCATTGCGCAGTCGCTAATCACATTCGAGAAACCATTCGTGAAATTACAAGATGAATGATATGCAGGCTGCCGAAATCTCTCGTGACAAAAATTCGATCTTTTTTCTATGGGAAAGAAAAAATCCGTGGGCAGTTGTTGGAACACCTAATGAGGGCTAAACTGCAAGATTTTCATTTTGCAAAAATTATTTACATTTCTTACAATTTATTTTATTGCTTACATTATTCCGTACAAGTTCATTACGTTTCATTCTTAGTAACAGTAACGCCTCGTTTTCTGTGTAAATCAGGTGGAGTCTAATTTTAGTACATCTTTGAATTTCGGAAATAAATTATTCTCTTTTGGACAAGAAATTTTTGAGTTTGAATGCCTCGTTTGAGGCCTCGCTAGTTAGGAAAGCCATTGTTCAAGGCCGCTTCCATTCTAAGGATGGCAGGAAGGTGTTAAAAACAACGCTCCTTTGCTCGTGGTCTTCATCTTTAGCCGCTTCTGTATTCACGGCGAAGCAGCTCTTGGACGCCTCGTTTACCTTATCAATTCAGCGCTCCAGCGAGAAAGACTGCATCAGGAGAAATGTGGTAGTCCTGCTGACTCCCCATAGCCATATGCACTCCTACACTAGTCCATTATTTACTCTTTTTTACTATAAACGCACTTTATACTCTGGTCCTTCTAAGATACGTTTCATTATGAAGTGAACGACGTGCAATTATAACAAAGTTGAGGTAAGTCGCTTGGTGAGAAATTCTACTGTCAAGCGCACAAAAAAATCACGAGTCTGCTGTTCTTCTCATAGGTTTGTTTATGTAATTGGACATTTCATACTTATTTCGAAACCAGA